ATTGATCAGGGATATTTAGGACAATCATTATAATTTATCCACGGATACAATTATCATATTGAACATGCAATTGTTATGATAACAAATGAGAAATTCATTAAATAACAATGCGCATAGTATAATGATTGGCCTTGGGGCACAATTTCCAACGTGACTAACTAATTGCTAACCTAATTATCTAGTGAATTAAAATAGAAAACTAATCCTAATCGTGAATAAAATGGCTTCCTTATTCAAGTAGAAACCTTAGGGTGTTGTTAATGGAGGATTCTTAGCCTTTAATTAATTATGAAAGCTCACTTAACTCTTCTTCTTAGCTGAAAAATATATTTACTTAAGACAACTATCTTAAGTATCCTAGCTTCACTAATTCAATTCTCTAAGTGCTATTACAAGCCTATTAGGTAACCTTACTAGCTTAGCTTTAAAATTAACCAAGTGTTTAGCTAAAATTCATTCCCATTTTCCACTTCCCAAAAGCTGTACCTAAGTTAAAAAATATGAAAACTCAAGCAACTCATCAAGTATTCACCACACAATTACATGTTAGGCTAATACAAGACATTCACCCATTGAAATCACATATTACCATGCAAATTCATGGAGTGGATGAAACTGCAGGAGCACATAGGTCATGAAATTCAACTCAACAATCTTGTTTCAACATTACAAATTACAAACAATCATATAACTAAAGTTAAATTGAACCACAATCAATAATAGTCATAGTATTCTAATGGAATTGAAACAAGATGGAGAGATAGTTGAGCTTAGCCAAGTGAAGACATCAAAACTCCTCTTTCATCAACTCTCCCCTAGGATTCTATGGAGACACTAGCTAGAAAACATCAAGAGTACTTTGCTTCCTCCATGAACACAACTAGGCCATGGCACATGCTCCATGCTTCTTGATGGATTGAGCTTCAAATTTTCTTCTAGTTGCTTGGGTTTGTTTCAGCCTTAAGAGAGGAGAAGAATGGTGGAAGAATTGAGTGGATTTGATAGTGAAAAGAGGGGAAAATGGTGGCTGTATGAAAATCTAGTGTAGAGAGAAGGAAGAGAAAAATAAAGAACAAGATAAACAAGAGAGAGAAAGTATGGAAGATGAATGAGATGATAATTGATCTAATTTTTTTAGGGTAAATGGTGTGCTCAATTCTATTTTGGCATCAGCTATAGCTTAATTAAGAAATAGGAAAGTAAATTAAAATGGAAATGGGAGCTTTGTCACACTTGCAAAGTGGCAACCTCCTTTTGGTTAGTAGATGATTCTAATGTGTGTGTAATTTTTCATTTGTCATCCACATTTTTAAGCTGATTTAATTCCCAAATAAAGCCTAAGTCACGTGCAAACCATCAGCTTTGACCTTAAGGAGTGTTGACTTCAATTGCCCAATTGATGCACAAGTCACATGCTACCTATGTTACATAAATCACATAATTTAATTAAATAGCATGTGATACAATAAAATCTAATTAATGTCTAGGATTAAACTCATATTCATAATTAGAGGAGAGAATTTATTAAATTAACCAAGTTCTAGGCTGCACAAAATTATATAAAAATTTTCACGCAAAGACAACCCGAAAACTAGGTCAAACTAACGCATTTAAGAAAGTGTTAACTTTATTTAATTGCTCTCAAACTAAAATGAATTTTAAAATTATAATTTCACCACTCATTAACTAGACATAAAATTCACTTCACCAATTTTTCTTGTACATTTTCTCAAAAGTTTAGTTTTTAGACCAAAATACTCATAGTGCAATAAACTTAGAAACTCAGGCAATTTCCAAATTTAATGCAATAAGTGCACTCGGAGGTGATAAAATATTAATAAAAGGATCCTAATTAATAAATAAAAGTGGGTAAGAAATGTGTACTATCACAAGGGATTCATCCCTCACTAAATTGATTTTTTCTAGTAGTGGTCCCTATTTCAACACATTCTAACAACTCCTTGTCCTTCCTCGGTTAGTGGCGCAATGTCATATAGACAATTGCCAAACGTGACCAACACAAATTGCTCATCTAATAATTTTATGCTTTGTGATGCTAGATAGAGGTTAAGTGATGGTTGTTTGGTTATTAGGCCACATGGATCTAATGAGTAAGTATTTTATAAATCAATTCAAATGAATTTTGTTGCTTAGTATTATTTTTATTAATTATTATTAATTTCAAAGATTCTTTCCTCATTTTGTGACTGTATTTAGAATATTAGAAATAATCAAATGCAAGTATGAGTATGGATGACCTGAGTTCAAAAAAGTTCCTAATGATGTAAAGTGGTTATGGTTTGACAAGTTCAAAGTAAGAAAAATATTGATAACCATTAAAATTAGTTAAAGTTAACCCTAATTTATTATTATATATTTGATGATCTTTAATTTTTATGCAGCAAAGATTTGCTTGGGATCTTGCAATTGAAGGAATGATATACAAAATATGGAAAAAGAGAGCTGGTGCAATTCTTTGTGTTGCATTACAAGACATTCATAATGAAAAATGCTCTAGTCGTTGGATGGGTGAACAAGCTCTAAAAAATTAAGAGTATATTGGGATAGTGAGGATTTTAAAGCTACATTTGAGCTTAATAAGGCAAATCACACAGTTGATCCAACAAGTTGCAAACATTGAGGTGGGCAAGTATCACTTTCAAATTATAAAATAAAGAAGGTAAGCATTCATTGCATGCATTTTACTTTTTAAAACTTCTTATGCAATTCTAATATTTTTGTTTGAGTTTTGCAAGAAAATGAATATGGTCGAAAGGTCTATTATCCTAATTTTAAAAAAAATCAATATGATGAGAAAAAATGGTTCGGATTTCTAAAAGAGTTGCTAAAACTTATGTGATTCATTTAAAAATTATTTTATATTTTTATTACTTAAAAATATTACAAATGCTAATAGTTAAAATTATTTTTATTGTTATATAGGGTTGATATGAGTAACTCTGTGATAGTCAAGACCCTACCTCAATTGAATCTGACTCATCGTTATGGCTTAAAGCTGTGGGTGGAAGAAGTAAAAGGGGGCATTGTTATGGGCTAGGAGAACAAGCTAGTTTACTCAATTAATAAGCTCATTTGAATACAATTATGGAGAGCTTACATAGTTAAGACACCATATGGAAGAATCATTTCAACAAAAGTTAGAATAGCAAGCCAAAAATTATGAAACAAGTTTGGCTAATGTTGTAGCCAAAATGGAGACCCAACAATAAGAAATGAGAATTGTGCATGAAACTTGAGAGAATCAATTAAGAGCTAAGTTGGTAGAAAACCAATTTTTTTTTTAAAGAAGATGATGGCTCAATTTAAGTCTTCCACCAGTTAACAAGTTTCAACTACACATGCTTCTATAATTGAAGTTCAAGGAAGTGAGGAGATAGTGATGATAAGTCTGATGATGAGTAGTTGTCTATGAATTTATTATGACTTTTGGTTAACTTATAAACATGTTTATTTGACAATGTTTATTTTACATATATTTTCTTAATCATGAAATATATATTTTTTGTTGCATTGGTGCTGTTAATAGTTTTTGAATCATTGCTATTAGAGGTATTTGAATGGTTGTTGTTACAGGAAAAGGGTTGAAAGGAAACAATATTTGACATTAATTTGATTTGTAAATTTCTCATGGAATTCTCTCAAAAATTAACGTGGGAATTATTATCCTAAAAATTTATGAGAGAAAATACTCAAATTTGACATTTTAATTGTCAATTTCTCTCAATTATTTAATTTTGTTATGTATTTTTAAATTATCTTGTTAGGGTAGGGATGTAGCTTAATTGGAAAGCTAGTTTTATACTTTTTTATTTTGACTCTTTGCATTTACATTTATAAATATTTTTTCAATTATATTTAATTATCTTACTCTTCATGTTGATTTTATGACTGGCCATCATTTAATCAAATCTATGGGTAATCGATCTTGATGGACTAGGAGGTGAAGAGATAACCTAGATATAGAGAAATAGAAAGAAATAAATAGGCCATGGATAGTTCTAAAAATTTGTCATTACTTAAACTATAGTTTCACAATTTAATTAGTTGTTTGAATATTGTGGAAACAAATTCAACACTAATTAAAAAGGGACTAATAATTTGGGAGAATATTAGGACACTTTAGGAATAGTTCTCACCATAATTGATTAAAGTCACCTTAAAGAATAGAAACTAGTAGCACATAGGGTCAATTCTAAACTCCAATGCTTGAAATGATTGTGTTTTTCTTATCATTATTTTCTTGATTTATTTTTATTCTCATCAAATTATCCATTTTATCTACTTTTTTCAAGCTATTAATTATTAAAATTAATAAAAGCTTAACTTCCATGTGGGTTTGACACTTGAAATACTTCAGGTAATTTATTATTGTGATACTATACACTTGTGAGAGTAATCAAGTTTTTGGTGCCATTGTTGAGGGAGTTACGAATTTACTAACTATTTAATTTTTAGTTTAATTTTTTTAAATTTTTTTCTCTTTTAATGTTTTTGTTTTATGCAACTGAGAAGTTCTAGTGAATTAAATTTGATTCCTATTAATCTAAAAATTGAACTATTTTCCAAGAAAAACAGATCTCAAAGAAGAAGAAAGATGAGTGATGAAGCTATTCCAAAGTCACCTATTATATTTAGAGATATTCAATGCCCTTTCATCACATCTAATTAGCCATGCATCCAACTGAGTACTAGAGTACGTAATTATAATTTTAAGAATATTCACTTAAATGCGCTACCTAATTTCAACAAGCACCAAACTAAAGAAGCCTTAGATTTTATATGAGAATTTTATGCAGTAATTGATACACTATTGTTAAAATAATCTATTAGATGTTGATTTGAAGCTGCGTTGCTTTCCTTATTGATTAAAGGGAGAAGCTCGTTAATGACTTTTACGCTTACCAAAAGCTTCCATAAGCTCTCGCACAGAGATGTATGAGCAATGTATATTGAAATTTTATTCTCCTCAGAAAACTTCAAAATTAAGGGACAAAATCCACTTCTTTACATATCAAAATGGTGAATTATTCCATAAAGCCTGGGAATGTTATAATCTCCTCATAAGTCAATGTCCCCATCACTAATTTCTGTATATATTCTTATTAGATTTTTTTTTATGATGGGTTCAATTCTAAATATCAATCAAAAGTTAATAATGCAACTTGCGGTGGTCCAAATAATATGACTACTAAAGAAAGTAAGGAGATTTATAAAATGTCAGCAGCAAATTCAAGGCAAAAGGAAGTTTGAGGAAGGAGGGCAATGACTAATGAAGTTTCCACATTAAATGTCTCACATGAACTATAAGATTTAACAAAGAGTTTAAATTTGTTATTGACAAATTTTAGTTTTTCTAATTTTTCTTCTTCTACTAATAATTCTCTTCATACAGGTTATAATAGTAACTATATGGACAAGGCTAATTATATAGGAACTGGTATTGATCAAGTTAATCTCATGAATGACCCATACTCCAACACATACAACCCTAGATGGAGAAATCATCCAAATTTCTCTTGGAAGAACTTCTCTACTCAAGGGCTACAAGCACAGCTAGGCGTCCAACAACAAAGAAACACAATTAAGGATCGTATAACAAAGCTGGAGGAATCTTTGGCTCAATTGTTGACTTACCAAGTGAATAGCATGAAGAGCATTAATCAAGAGATTGACTAACTTAAACAAGCAGTTACTTCAACTAAAGCTTCTATGAAGGATATGAAATTTCAAATAGGTAATTCTTTAAGGAATATGGAGACTCAAATAAGCAATTTGGCTAGCTTAATTATCAAAAAGAGTCAAAATAAACTTCCAACTAATATTGAAGTCAATCTATGAGAGAAAGTCATGGCAGTCACTTTACAAAAAAATAAAGAACTTCAAGAGGTTGATAATGGGGCTAGAAAGATGTCTAAAATGATAAGTGAACAAAAAAATAATGAAGATGATCGAGAAACTCAATATGGCCATTCTCTCTCTCAAGCTAAATCTCATATGCCCCTATTCAATATCCTGAGTGCCTTAAAAAAAAAGATCCAAATTTAAGCTTCCAAAAAAATTCCTTGATATGTTCAAAAAAATTTAAATTAATATTTCACTTATAGAGGCATTAGCAAAAATGGCTGCTTATGCCAAATACATTAAGGAGCTAGTTTCAAACAAGAAAAGGTTAGAAGAATATATCACAGTTACACTTACAAAAGAGTACATTGCAAATTCTACCAAGAAAAAAAAGATACCACCCAAATTAAAAGATCTAGGGAGTTTCACTATTCCTTGTGATATTAATTCTAATATTATTGAAAATTGTTTATGTGATTTGGGTGTGAGTATTAACTTAATGCCTTATTCTTTATGTAGAAAATTTGGCATAATAGATATCAAGCCGATTAATGTGACTCTTCAACTCACAAATAGATCACCCAGATATCCACATGGTATAGTTAAGGATGTCATAGTGAAAGTCAGAAAACATTATATTTCCATAGATTTTATTATTCTAAACATTGAAGATAATTAAAATGTCTCACTTATATTAGGAAGACCATTTTTAGCCATTGGGATGACCTAATTAATGTGCCTAAGGGAAAATTAATTTCAAAAGTAGATGAGGAAAAAAGAAGTATTTAAATTTACTAAAGCTACTAATCTCCCTATTTTTTAGAAATCTTTATGTAGCATACCGGTGACACAAGAAAAAGAGAAACATCCAAAAGACCCTCCCTTACATACTTTAGAAAATAAAGAGGAGGAAATTAAAAATTGAGAAGGGAGGGAGCTACAAAGGCATCCTAAATAGATCTACCCACTAGTCCTCGTAAAAATTCAAGCACTCATATATTGGAGTCAAATTGAAAACTCCCTTACCCATTAATAAGAACCCTCTCTAAGGGAAAGATGAATTGTTAGTTGGGATAGGAAGGTGTCTTTTGATTCAAGGAGACAAGGATTCATACCATGCTCAGAAGGCATCCCTTGATTATACCACAATGTCTAGCTATAGACATTAAATGTAGCGCTTGTTGGCAGACAACCCAATTTTTTTATTTCCTTTTCACAGTTTTTTAATTTGTTTTTTTTAGTTTTTTTTTTTACCATTTGTTATCCTCATAAAATTTATTTGATCATTAAGACCACTTCTAAGATGTATTGCAGGATTATAATGTTTAAAATGAAGCTTCTTAAATGTTATCAAAGTCACATCAAAGCAAATTAAACTAAGGGAGTCTCAGGTCCTATATCTTTTTCATTTTCTGCAAACATTGAGGACAACATAGAATTTAAGTGTGGAGGAGCATATATCATAATAATTTTCTATTGCTTATGATGTTATAATTTCCTTAACAATTTACATGCTGTAATTGGCTTTATTTCTAAAAATTTTGAAAAATTTTGATTTTTTTTAATTTTTGCTCTTTTATATTGTTTTATTTAGCTATATAACTAATGAGGGAAGCTATATTTTTAGAAAGAATTTAAGACTACTAATACCCCAAGAAAGTTTATCAAAAATATACTTAATGCATGAATAATTTATTCCATTTATTCACGTCTATGCTTGGAAAGCTAACATCTTATAAAGTAGTTAAAAAGGGGAATGATTCTTGTAAAAAAGAAAAAAGAAAAAAATGCTGAGTATCCACTCCACTGATGCCAACTGGGCCTAATAATAGGGGGCCTTCATCAGCAGTGTTGGTCCTCACATCAAATAGCTTAGTAAGTGCCAAGAGTATGCTAATAAAGTTCCTTAAGTCTAAGTAATTGGGCCCTTTTATCACCAATATGAGAGTTCTCATGAAAAGAACTTAAGGATTATCTAAGGAAGAAAGGTAATTCATGAATAGCTAAGAATGATGACTCTCTTGTACAATAACTCAGAAAAAGAAATAGGTAAGGCCCAAGGATATAGATAGATTCATTATGTAGATAAGTGCTCAATCATAACTAAATTCACTCCCTGTGGTGGTAATGGCAAAATTATTGGCTTTGTCTTTCACATTGAAGCTTGGTAGGGTGGTTATACAGTTAAGTTTTACCAGTGTTTCGAGCAAAGATCTTGCATTTGACATCCTTATATAAGGAATAGGACTAAATGTAGAAGTATTTGTTTGAGGACAAGCAACAAGTTAAGTAGGAGGAATTTGATAAGTGCATATTTTGTAATTAAATAGGTATAAATTTTGATTTGAATTTGATTATATTTATTAAAATTTCATATTTATTTAATTAATATCTATATACTTTTCCTGATCACTTAATTATAAGATAAAAAGGAATTTTGATACAAAATGTACTCATCTTTCTTTTCTATATCTTGTAGGAAAATAATAGATTAAATAAAGGAAGAAAATGCTGAAAAAGAAAAGGAAAGAATATATATATATATATTGAAGGAGAAAATTTTTGTATGTCATACCATGAGGCAAATAATATATATATATATATATATATATTATGGTCCCGCATCAACTAGGAATGAAAGGAGGAGCCTCAACTTTAAGTATAAATACTCCTTCCATCAAGAGGAAGGTCATCAAATTACTTATCTAAGTATCTCAAAAATTCTCTTTGAGATATTTAGAGTTCGTAAAAACATTCTTAAGACTGAAAACAAGATCTTTGAGGAGTTATACAAATAATAATTATTTCTTTTTTACTCTTTAATCTTCTTTGTAATTGTTTTTCATGATTGGAGATTTTAAAACAATATTATTTAATTTTATTATATATTTGTAAATAACCCAGTTGGGGTAGGGATATAACCCAACTAGGGAGCTAGTTTTCTACTTTCTTCATTTTGACTCTTTACATTTATATTTATAAATATTTTTGCTTTTTCAGTTATATTTATTTCTTTTATTCATCATATTAATTTTATGATTGGCTACTATTTAATCAAATTTATGAGTAATCTTGATGGATTGGGAGGTGAAGAGATAACCTAGATATAGAGAAATAGACATAAATAACTAAGTTAGGGATAGTTTCAAAAATTTGTCATGACTTAAACTATAGCTTTACATTTTAATTAGTTGTTTGGATATTGTGGGAATGAATTCAACGTTAATTAAAAAAGGACAAATAATTCAGAAGAATATTAGGACACTTTAGAAATAGTTCTCATTATAATTGATAAAGATCAACTCAAAGGATAGAAACTAGCAGCCTATAGGATCAATCCTAAACCCTAATACTTCAAGTGATTATGTTTTTCTCATCATTATTTTTTTGATTTATTTGTATTCTCCTCGAATTATCTATTTTTTCTACTTTTATCAAACTATTCATTATTTAAATCAGTAAAAGAGCAACTTCCCTATAGGTTCAACACCTGAAGTACTCCAAATAATTTATTGCTGTGATTTCGTATACTTGCGGGAGTGATCACTTATTCTTTGATATGGTAATAAGAATACATGGTAATAAAAAAATATAACTTAGAAATATTAAAAATATAAATAATTGAGAATAAACTCATTTACATTATTAAATTATCATATACAAGACAAAAAATTTTAAAATAGGGAAACTTATATTTAGTATTTTTGTTTTCTTTTTTATTAATATTAGTTTTTGTATTTCAAGTTTTTGTCTTTGAACCAAGTTCTATAACTTTTATGGACTCAATTTTACATAATATATACCTACACACTCAACTAAAAAAAAAATAACAAGCTTGACTATTTTAACCAAGCATGAAGTCTAAGCTTATAAATCTGTTAACACAATTTTATAAGTTAGAAATGTAAAAATTATAAATTCAAAGGTAAACTCGTGAGTTTAGTCGAGATTGTATCTAATTCAAATTTATAAATGAGTTGACATAATTTTATAAGTTAAAAACATAAAAATGTTAAATTTAAAAAGTTAATTTAAAAGTTTGACAACTATGATTTGAATATTTTAGCAATCACACACAACTCTATGAGTCAAACAAAAGATGGGAATTTTTCCCCATGATTCCAAGTGGAACTTCAATCAACGTCAAATTAGATATTATGGAAATTCAATTCATCCAGAATTTTAAAAATAAGAAAAAAGGGGGCCAATAAACAAAAAACTACCATCAATGAGACATGAGCAATG